ACGCAGGAAAGACAAAGCTTCTAGACGTTTTTCCTTTTAATATGAATGGTTTCTACTTTAAGTTTATTCCTCTAACTTATCTTTTTTTTTTTTTAGTTTAGCCTAGAATCCTGCCTGACCTGGAATATTGCACAGAGAGTATCAATGGCTGTGAGGCACATTTTGATCTGAGAATAAAAATAAAAAGATATGACTTAATTTCTTAGGAGCTTTAAAAGACTCAAAGTTGTAACTTTAAGGGTGATTTTACTGATGTTTAAGGCCATGACTAGAATGCCCACTTCTCTGGTTAATGGGTGGAAAGATTCTGTGGATGGTAAATTTGTGAGACGTATGTTCCTTTCTTTTTTCTTTTGTCAAACCTTGGCAGAAACGTCCTTTGAAGATGTTAATTTTAAAAGACTGAAAGAATAGAGTCACATATAGATTTTAAATACCCTGATTGTAAGGAGAAGGCACCTTCAGGAACTGATCAGCTCACAATGACACAATCAGAAGTGGAGAACAACGGCTTAAATACCGTGACTCTCATGTCCAATGAATATTAATACTCTCAGAGTGAGGATCAGGACTTGGTTTGATGTACAAAGTCCAATATCTGTCCTTACAAGGGTTTCATCTGCTGCCATTGCCAAGTGGTGCCTCACAAACTCCCCTTCAAGCTTCAACGTTGTTTTTGTTGCTTTGGTTTTGTTACCCAATTACAAACATGATTTGCAAAATGAATAGAAATCCGAAAGAGATTTAAGGCTTCCAGGCAAACCTCCCCAAAGGCATTTGGCAGCACCGTGCCAGGGCGAGGTCAGAGTGAGAAAAGCACTCTAATTTAAAATTCTTGACTGGTCTCATCCAAAAGATAGACAGTGGCTGCTGAAGCTGTGCTTCCAGGATGATATCCTGCAGAAAGCAATTTAGGTTATTAGCACAGAGAGGACAGAAGAGCAATTTTCCAGCCTATACAGTTAATCAATAGGAAGCTCCCACTTCCTCTGGAGGGAAGGGAGAACAGTGCTTAAATGACAATGATTCATAAAACGGCTTGAAAACATTATAATGGTAGGAAAAAGGCATTTGAGAATGGAAAAATTTGAAGAGGAGAGACAGAGATAATTTATACCAAGGGCTCAGGTGGCCAGGGATAGCGAGGAAGCCGTCAAGGCCTGCTGCATAGGCCAAAAATGAAGGCCCAGTTCACAAAGATAATCCACATGGCTGACACAGCAAAACCAAATGCCTAACACAGAGATTTGTTTGCAATCAATGGACATGTGTAAGTGTTTGCCCTAAACTCTTATCCCAATTCCTTTGAAATAGAAAAAGAAAGTACAGTTAAACAGATGGCCATCAAACCTTATTGTCACTAGACAAGCACAGTAATGTCTGCCTGTAGGCCACTGTTTTAGAAGCAGTTCATGATGAAATATGGGTTTAGACTTAGGACCTCTGGTTTGTTCTCAAGTACAAAAGAAGGGTGCAAGTTACCAAGAGTATTTATTTTACACTGATTAACATTTTGCTTATTAAGCTAAATGTAAGTGTGGAACCACACAGTGTTTTTGAGAAGACTTAATGAAAGTGACTTTTAATTGGTAGTTCAGAGGCAGTGGGAACTCAGACACTGAATATAACAGACAAGTTGCAAGCGCTTTGTATCAGAGGGTGCCTTTGCTGTCACACAACATCTGTATCCTTGCTCCCCTTTTTGTGCATATTTTCTCTGCAGTAACCCAATTTCCTCAAAAGCAAAACCTCTGTTTGATTCTGGGAAAATTTCACTTAAGACCCCCAAATAAACCAACAGGACAGTTTCCAGAGGAGGAGTCAGGAAGCACAGCTGATGGAAAGCATCATGGAAGGTGATGTGTGTGTCCCTACGACCCTCAGCACAGGTGGGTGATTTGCAGCAGCCCTCAGCTCCCATAAAATGCAGGGATTCACTCTCAAAAGGCAGGAGGGACAAGGTCACACTGAGTTTATCTTCCTCTACCTCCTGTTCTTGTTTATCCCAGTTGGGTAGTACCGACCTCTTTTTATGTTTTTAATTTTAATTTTGCTAAAAAAAAGTACATACTTTTTTGATGCTAACATCATCCTCAGGACAAGAATAGCAGAAACTGGATATTAGAAAACATATTTTACTAGTTCTATTTTATAGTCATATAATGTTATGCAGACCTAGTTTTACTTTCTTATATGACACCCTGGCTGCACAACTTTAGCCCTATGACTATGAGGAAGCTTCTTGGTTTTGCCAACCTGAATAACTGTTTAATGGCACACACCAGTTGTAAAAAAGTTCTTAAACATGAACTGCATTTGAAAAGAAAGTGTTAGTGGGACAAAACATTTTCTTTATTACTTATTGATTTTTGTAGCTTGGTTAGATAATTCTTGGGCCTGTTAATTGCACTAAAAATAGGTCTCTATACTAGAAAAACCTCTTTTATCATGGTGGACTCCGCAAAGCTCAGGAGGAGAAAAAGGAATATTATATTAATGGGAAGAGGTGAATGATTTTGTTTAGAAATAACATATTTTTAAAGAATTTGAATTAAGCTACTGCTGCTCCACCTGATTTTCTGCAGTGCTGTACAATCTGATAAGTAAGTGCTCAATTTCTCTGTTTCTCTGTGTGTGTTGAATAATCCATGGCCATGTATATAAAAATAACTTGGCATAAAAATAACTGAGTAAATTTCTTACTGACAGTTGTACAGAAACATTTAACCTAAAAGTGATGTTATAATTGCTTCTAATCATAGCAAGTGTCTAGTTTTTCTGGACTCCACTGAAAATCTGATCAACAAATAAATATAAATGTAACTATAAATATGACATACTTATTTACTGATATTTCTGTGCTGAAATTCTATATTCTGGAGATTTTTTTTATATAAGACAATTTGACCTTTATTTTACAGGCTGAGATGGTAGTGTTTGATATCTTTAGGCCCAGTTTAAGTGAATCCTGAAAAATTTTAGACACATCTTCATTTACTGCCTTGACCTGCAGATCTCGTGGTGCCTCATAAAAAAATCCACAGGACTTTAAAGTCAAATAAATACTCTTAATTTACATTCTACCCCCTAATCAGATCACAGCAGAAGAGTGATATAATGTGGGATTCTCAGTACATAGTTGTAAATAGGATATTTTTACATTTTCATGTTTCTAACCATTAAAGAAAAAAGGGTAGATAGGGAATGTCGGCCTTGAAAAAACAGATATGCTGGGATTTAGCTGTAGTGTTGTCCCAGATGCCCTGCACTGGACTATTCAGTCTTCTAAGATAAAAGTGTTGAAAACCCAGTGCAGTTACAGAGTATCTGCTGTGACTTGTAAGCAGCCTGTTACCTTTGTGCTTAATAGTCCAAACAGTATGAAAATTAAACAGAAAATCTGGATTTAAACTATTATATAAGTAGTAGCAGCAGGAGCTGTTGTAGTATTTGTAGTGGTAGCACTAGTATTTACCTCTCTGGGATATTAGAGACAAGGTAAGCAGCTGAAATCTAAATTAGGAACCCTTAGAAAACTGCATTTATCATGTCTGGAATTATGTATCATAGATCCATCCTTTCACGTGCTGTAAAATTCCCTGTTGGCAGCAAACCAGCTCTGCTGTTTATCTTTCCCTGTCCATGTTTCTTTGCTAGGATTGCCCTGGTATGCAACAGACCTTACAAAGGGAGGGGATGGCATAAAAGTGTCAAATTCAGGATCACTTAAGAAATAGCCTCCCAAAACCCTCATTAAATCCTTTCAGAAGTGATGGTTTGGATCCATGAGGTGGATGCACACCCCCCAACTCCTCTCTTGACAGCAGATGAAGAGGACTTAAAAGACTCTTGCACTGAATTGAATTGTATCAAATACTAAATGCAAGGTTTTCAAACAGAATATACTTTTTGCAAGGGCTCCTATATAATAACAGGAATTGCCAGGTTGCTAGGTTTCCATTCACTCTTCCATGCAATTGTCAGTCAAATGATTGCTTTCTGTAAAAAGTTATAATTATTATAATCAAATACAATTTAAAACTTATGCTAGGTGGGATGATGTTGCATTCAGAACCACTCTCTGAGCTACAATAAGCTCTTCTGTCAGTGCTTTTCTTATGAAGTCTGGTTTTCGCTGGTTTTTTAATTTATTCATGACTGTTTATCCAAACTTCAGATGCACTTGTGCATAAATATAATTAAAACATATTTGTTTTGCACTGAGGAATAAAAAGATAATTGGGAGCGTAATGAGTTGAAGGTCAGAGCAATCACACACATTTTTACTTAGTTCACAGTTCTAATCATAAATATCTTTGCACATGCAGTATTTCCTGCTGCTCTGGTACACTGGCTCACAACATTTTCATTATTCCCTGTTTTCAGTTTATAGCCTCCCTTCATGTATTTATGAAGATTCTCCCAGTGTTTGCAATCAATAGTTGGAGCAACAGAAAAACTTGTTTATTGGTTTGTCTGTTTGTTTGTTAAGGAGCATGGAACATTTAAGTCCTGCCTTATTCTCCTGTAAGTATATTAATGGGTTGATTGGACAGGGATCCATGGTCTGAGGGGGACTGACAGTTATTCCTCTTCAGTTTTAGCACAGCTCCTGCACATTTGATAATCACTTGGACCACACGAGGCTGTGAACAATCTGATCTGCTTTGACAACTTGACCTCCAGAGAGCCAACCCCATTTCTCCTGTTACTTTGTGGTTCTGTTCTATCACACCTCATATCATCAAGAAACCCCTTGTGTTAGAAGGAATGCTGGTAACAATTAATATGCAATTCTCATCTTGAAAATTCCTCTGTACCCATGCTGCCAGAAAAAGAACAGATGTTTGTGTTATCACAGCTGAAAGCTGAGCTGCTCGATGAACAACAAAAAGCAAATCATGATGTTACAATCCTTAATTTATAACACAAATCAAGCACTAGAGAAGTAAAAATTGTTTGGCATTTAATATCATGTTATGTTTTTACTGCAGTCTAGAAGAGTAAATGCTACAGAAACACCATTTTTAAGGTGTGTAAGCAGTCCAGATATCAGAGGTCCTGCTATCTGATGTTTGGCCATACACATCCTGAAAGAGGCATATTGCTCCTATGCAGAATCTGTAAGGGACAGAGGGGAAACAGATTTTCTCTTAAAAGCTAATTCAGTTCTGGTAAACCACCCATTCCATCTGTCAGCAGGAATACAGTGTTCTGTGATACCACAAAAACCGTGTAAAAATTAAAATATGCTCTTGAAAATTGCATTAAACTGATGCTTGAAAGGTGAGATTCCCTCCATCTGTGTGTGATGCCGGAGTAATCAGGCTCTGTGGTACCTACTCCAAACCCATGGCACATTCTAGTGCACACAACATGACTCCAAACTATAAAAGGAAGTGATTTAACCCCTAAACAGAACCGTTGCAAAGTGTGGAATTGTTTATTTAGATGTACCTGTCACATTAACTGAATCCATCAGTTGAGGACTTGACTACAGAGAGATTTGGGCAGGATGTCTAAAACCAAGTAATTCAGCACTAAGGTTTCACTGCTTTCTGGGTATCTGAATGTCTTTTGCAAATGGAACTTAAGTACATTACAATACTGATTTCTCAAAGGCAGCATGGGAATGATAAAATAAGGAGCTAAACTTGGATCTCCTGCAACCCCAGCAGTTCTCTACCAACCCAATGTTTGCTAGTGAATAAGAATCAAAAGATGAATGAAACTAGCACTTCTGGATATAACTGCAACGAGAAGAATATAAGAATTAAATAAATCACGGATACAGTGAAAACTAGATCACATTTTTTTGAATTATTTTCTATTTTATCACCGAAAAGTTCTAGTAGTGATCGAAATAAAGAAATAAAAGTTTACACTGTTTCTTGCTTTGTATGAACTGTTTCATTGATTTCGAGGCTCTAGAAATGAAAAATTGGTTTGTTCATCGTAACATTTTCAATGAATCATATTTAAGGTGACACTGTGCTATTATACTACAAAGTCATGTAGTAGAGAGACATAATGACCTCTCTGGTAATCTTACAGTTTTCAATGGAGTATCCTCATACAGCAGTAATTTGGTATTTTGCAGTTTTAAAATGTAATTGAAAGCATTTTTATTGGATACATTCTCATTACACAGCACACAGCCTTCACTTGATAAAGCTGTTTAACAGCAGATTGAAAATGAATGATCAGTTAGAAGGGAAAAAAACACTGATGAAAAAGGGAAAATAAAAAGCTTGGCAAAATTTTAATCACTGTAAATTTTGTGATAATGACATTTCTCTTCAAGGTATTCTGATTTTTTCTTTGCCAGCACTCAGAACTCTCTGTGTTCCATTAAACGCTTCACTGCAGCCTTGCAAGGGTTCTCAAATGTAACCTGGCAATTCACTCAACCCACACTGAAACAGCAGCACTGGCTCCCTTTCCCTGGCTGCTCCCACATTTCTCCTTTTCCCTATATATGTTTTCCTTCCCTACCAGCTCATTTGCTGCCAGTTCTGAGCAGCTTTAGAAGTACTTACAGACAACAAGGAGAAGTTCAGCTGCCTTTCTGTTTTGCCAGTCTTTGCACCTCTTACTTCTTGTCATTTTTCTTCATGCCTTTCAGCTTGCCTGATTCCAAAAAAGGAGCTGGCACCAGTTTTATGCCTCCAACTCACACGAGTGAAGTGGAAGTTACGTGTTCCATAATTAAGGGTGATGTGCATTTCGAATTTGAGAAGTTGGCCTAATGTCATAAGAACCAGCTGGGTTTGATAACTGGTTGTGTACTGTGATCCATTTATCTGACTCAAATAGAAGAGAATGATGCCAATAATTCAAAATAGAAAACTCTTAAACTGCACATTTTTTCTAGTAGAATAACAAACTACCATAGATAAGAACCCTGCAACAGGGATCAAAAATAAACTTATTAGGAGACTCATCATGCTTCATTTTTTTTCCTAAACTGTTTCTAGGATAAGACTTTTGTTTCCATGCTAAAGCAAGTGATAGGAATTTTGAATCCTTTTTTGCTAATCTCTAGATGTTAAATGTCCCTCAGTTTTGTTAATTTGTTTCTGCACTTCCCTTGAGACAATTCCAATTTCCACAAGCCTGTTTTTATACTGATTGATTCAGAGACAATAGACTGAAAAGGTATAAAACCAAACAGCTTATAATATAAAAGTAACTTTGGCTGCTGTAATTAAAGACAACCTTCTCTCACTTAGCAATACACTACATTTAGATTTTGTCAGTAATTGGCAAACGAATGAGCAAACAATATTATACATTTTGCACTTCAAGTTTCAGGTCTCATCTGCTCTAGAAAACCTCTCTGTCTTATCTGATGCAGTGATAATGAACAGATTTAGGGTGTTGGGAAGCAGAATTTCTATATCATATAGAAATTCTTCTGCTTATTTGAGCAAGAGAAATGTAGACAATGCCTCAGTCCTGATTTCAAGTTTAATTCTTTCTTTTTCAGTATCTATAACTTCCTCTCATGCACTTCTCATTTTCTTCTTGTTCCCTGAAATTGTTGTAGTCACCCACAGTCTCCCGTGGTCTGAATGTTCCTGCTTTGTACCCCTTTTTTATATGATCTGTGTATATTTTTTCCATTATTTCTTTCGTTGCTGCAGTGTCACGGCTTGGGCTGGGACTGCAGAAGTCTTCAGAAATGCCTCATCAGAAAACTGTGTAGCCCTCCCAATTTCATTAATGGGCACGAGTGTCAAATATTGATTTTCCTATTATATTCCTTTCTGATGTTTCAAATAGTAAAAAATATAAATCAATTAATCTAGTTCTTTCAGCTTTTAAAGCAGAAAAACCAGTAATAAATAATTCATGATGACTTCCTTTGAAATTCCTTTTCCTTCTTTTTTTAATGGTCCATTTAAGGGAGCAGAGATAAAGTAAAAACATGAGCTGTAGAAAACACAGCACTGGAGGATATAACTGCACAAATATCATATGATGGTCTCCATCCTCAGCACTTCTTTTTACAAATTATGTGGATTAATTTAGGCCAGTAATTAAGACAACAGATCAGAACTCCCTGCCTAGATAATGGCTGGGACATTATTATGGAGGGTTACTACTGACTCATTGAAGGGTTTGCTTAAAAGTGACATTTGCCAAACAGCCAAATTCTAGAATTCACTTACATACCAGATTTCCTGGAGATCCCAGTGCAGAGCCAGTGTTGAAATCTGTATCTCATTGTGTCGCATATAATTCTCTGTAAAGGAAATAATGAAGGATTCAGAGAAAGCCTCACTACAATGGGACAGAAAAATAGCAGTATGGATCTTGAGATCCTGTGTTTGGGAAATAAAAGTTATGTCATGATTCTAAGAAGCAATATCTGATATCTTCACCAAATCCTGGCTGATCTTCTTTGATTTTTTTTTTAATTAAATGTTTCTGCTAATAAAGGAATACATTTGAATAGAAGAAAACATTGGAAAACAAGGAAAAGGTAAAGCAGGAGAGGGCAAAAAAAGAGAAAAAAAATGGGAAAATATAACAGAAGTAGATTTGAACTTTGAAAATTCACAGGTTTTTGGCTTTGATGCTTTGATGCAACAGGTCAGTATGGGAAGGAATATTGCAACTGAAATAATTGCTGTTGAGAAACAGCAATGAAAGATGATGATCACTGAGGCAGATTTAGGAGATTTCTACTGTTATTTAAGAATCTTAAGAATTAATTTGTTATTGGAAACCTGTGCATGGTCCTTATTTTGTTTCCACAGTGTAAAATGCAATAGAGCATTTCAATCTGCAGCATGGATTTATCAGCATAACCACTGCTGAACTCCAGCTTGGCAATCCTAGCTTTCTTTCCAAATATATATATTACGAAATTATTTATATAGAAATATATAAATTTTCTACATGTACTCGCTCTAATTTTCCCATCTGAGCCATTTCAAAAAAAACCCTCTCCCTTTTCAAAAAGATACCAGTAAATGCAGAAAGTGAAAGAGATGCAGAATGTTTGACAAGACTTGATCTGAATTCAAAGGCTCCTGCTGAGTATTTAGGAGGAATCATTAAGGTTTATTAATTTCTGGGGTATTTGCTGTTTGGAACAAGAAATTCTCAGGACATGAGGTGACAGCCCTGCTGTGGCAGCATTACCAATGTGCTTTCAGCACCAGTTTCATGGATAGATGTTCTTGCAGCTTCTATTTTCTATCCCCATGCATTTTTTTTCCTCCCTAATCTGTTGCAAGGGAGAGAAGTGCAGTGATAAATGGCACACAGTGGCATAAACATAACCAGAGTGTGACAAGGATACCCCTGGAAGGCTGTGGCATAAGTTACACCTCTTCCATAAAGCCTTAGTATATGATCCAATGTCCTCTGCTCTGTGCAGGTCCAGGTTGTTCCATAAATAATGTGAATTCCCTCAGTCAGAGGCACACAAATAGTATGTTACACCTATGCAAGGAGCAAATGATTTTTTGAAAAATTGGGCTCTTAAACTGTATTATGGATAACAATTCTCACCATCGTCGTTCATCCATCCAGATAAAATGGTACCTATTTCCTCCTTAAATGTCAAATATGTAATATGTATTTTGAAATAGAAAGGATACCTTAGGGTACATGCTAATGTACTTCCTTCAATTACATTTTATGATTATGACCTTTATTCCAACAATAATTTAATGTTTTAATTAAATTTGCAACCATTTTCATTGCTGCAAGATGTCCTTCATCTCTCTGTACTGTAATTTAATGAAGTGATTTTCAATCACAATCAGCAATATCTAACAATAAATTTTAATATCATTTCTCATGAGTCTAAGAGGATCTTTCATGTTTTAAAGCAAACTTCATATCAGTGCCATGGCAAGGAATAATTCCAACCTTTACTGTAAGCATAGAATACACATTTTCAGGTTTTTCAGCCAGATCTTTGGAGATTGAATAATCAATGTTTATTCCAAAAAGAGACTTCTTATAAAAAAGGGCCTTTAATTAAGAAAGAGAAAAAAATAAATAATGACACTATTCCAAAAGGGATAGCACCATGGTAAAGAATTAAAAAATGTCCATTAGTAATCACGATGTCTCTTAATTTTGATTTATGGAATTTTTTT